AGGAAGGTGAATAGTGTTTTATAAAAATTTCTTGCGAAATTGAAAATAACTATGCAGCGGAATAAGATTATATCAACAATAAAAACTCAAATCAGAAAAGCACAATCGTAAACACGGGGATTTATCCTGGTTCGGTCCTCCAGACCTATATCCAGTCCCCAAGCAACCCCCTTGAGATTTTCACTATTTTTGAATTTCCTTACAAGAATAATCCTTGCACAAACTTGACAATCCCCTGGTCAATTTGCACACCCTTTCTCAAACCAGAGAAAGGCTTTCCTTCCCTCAAACCAGAGAGAACCTTTCCTCTTCCCTCAAACCAAGGAGAACTTTTCTTGATGAATATTACAACAATCCTATAAGCCTTGATGTGTAGTGATCTTATTTGATCTGTGGCTAATAGGAATTCTCAATATTTTGCCTCACTAAAACTGGGAATTTTTGACAAGAAGGCTATAAAGAGAGTTTTTCATTTTTAGTTTTTCAACTCAAGAGTATATCAAAATTTTTGGTTCAAGAACATGTATTTTGAAAAATAAACTCAAGGGTATATATTCAGATCAATAGACATAATTTCCGAGTTCAAATATGTTTTCAAAATACGAATTTTTAACTGTTATAAAACGGCTAATTCAATTTGAACATCAAAAGTCAAACAACAATAAATTGTCTGATCAGTCAACTGGTGGACTCATCAATCGACTGACCAGAGACTTAAAAACGATTGTTACTTGAATCAGTTGACTTATATAAAGATCGGTCGGCTACTACAGTGACCAATCGACTGCTACAGTAACCAGCCCATTGACCAAAAAATCAAAATCAATCAAACAGGCTAGTCGGTTAACTGCTACATTAACCGATCGACTACTACAGTGACCAGTCGACTGATTAGAAAAGTAACATACACTAAAATGGACATAACTTCTTACTACGATATCCGAATTGAGTGATTTTGAATGCGTATTTCAAATATCTACGTGATGAATCTAAAATCATCCGAATCCAATGGTCTTATGATTTTATAGATATTTTTAAAGTTAATGTATTACTGAAACTTGTTACTTTTAATGCAGAAAAACCAAGTTTTTATTAGTTCTTTTATAAGACGACTAGGGGTATCATTAGTCAAATAGGGGACCAAGTTTTTTTATAAACTAAGTCATGGTTTGTGTGTGTACACGCATCAAGGCTTTTAACAATTTAAGATAAAGTAAAATTTATAATATGAAGTCCAACTTTATCTTGATTTCTCTTCAGTCTTGTTTGATCAACTTGAATGATGTAGCAGGATATATCTTTTGATACTGCAATAACCAAGTTAGCCAAACACAAAGTATATTTGTATCATTAAAACATACCTGATCAACAACAACACCACTAGGGCTTATCACTGCCGCAGGCGACCCTCCCTACTGGCATTGTCGGCCCTACCGCCAGCCATCAGCCCTTCGCCGGTGATTGGAGGGATCGCATCTACGCTACTACTGTTGTTTTCAACACAGATTTGCACTGTTCCTGCTATTATTTATCCAGATCTGCCCAAATATGAGTTGTTGCTACTGTTTTCTACCATGTTAGCAGTTTTCTGTGTTGTTCCTGCTGCTGTTTTTATGCCATGTAGGCTATTTTTTACACTGTTGCTATTATTTTCTGTGCTGTTAATGGTATTTTTTGCTTTACTGCTATTGTTTGAGGTCACTGTTGCTAATGTTTGCTGCCGCCCTTTATTTTTAGTGTTTTGAAGTCAACTTCTTTTGATTTTGTTTGCTTTATGGAGTCGACTTAATGCTCCTTACAAGATCTACATGCTAATATAAATTTCTCTAGTTATCTGACTAGTTATTCTGGTTTTCTACTATTTTACTATTGGATTGGTTGTGATGACTTCCTCAGAGAACTCAAGTGTGTTAACTTTCTCTATTACTTCTCCTGCTATGGAGACTGTGGCATCCAAGACTTTATTGGGAACAACTGTGAAGCTAAATGGATCTAACTACTTGTGGTGGTCTCAGTTTTTCAAAATTTTATTGGTATGCAGAACAAGTTAAAGCACTTGTTAGATGATCCACCAGCTTCTACAAAATCTGACTACACTGATTTGGATATCTAGAGACTATTGTGTTATGACATGGCTTCTCAACAGCATGGAGGAGAAAGTCAGCTGCGACGTTATGTTCTTGAAAACTGCTAAGGAGATGTGGGATACCCTCAAGGAGATGTATGAGAACGAGAAGAATATGTCGAGGGTATATGAGCTTTATGGGAAGCTATTCACTTTAAAGTAAGGAGATAGGTCAATTCCCAAGCTAGAAATTCATCTGCCTGCAGCTACTGATCCGAATACCTTAAGGGGATATCATCAAGACTTAGCTATATTGAGGTTCCTCTTTGGTTTTGGATCCCTCTTTAGCATCTCAGGTGCGAGGGAAAATTATTGAAGGTGATAGTATTTCATCATTGTTTTCCACCTATGCTAGAGTGATGAGAGTCTCTACCGAGAATGGAGCACTTTTCACTCCTTCTATAGAGCAATCTACTATGTTTGCTGGATGTGGTAGAGGACATGTGTAAAACCCCGTATTTTTGGTTATGAAAATGTGTGAATTATTGATAATAAATAATCCTATTGTGGTAAATGACTTGAGGTCATAGATATACTTGATAACAAGTTATTAGAGATGTATGATTATATTAATATAGAGTTTTTGTGCATTGGTTTTGGCAAATTAGCAAAACATGCACGAATCTGGAAAATGTCAGCTTAGTCGACTCATGAGTCGACTTATGAGTCGACTTATAAGTCGACTTACGGGCAGACTTCCAGATTCTTTTCAGTTGCGGGTTTGGGTGAGTTTTTTTTGGGTTTTAACCGTATTATATATATATTCTTTTACCCGAAACCAACCCCAAAACCCATCAGACCTCAAAGAAACCCTAGCTCTCTCTCTCCCCCCTCAAACCCTAGTCCGTTCTTGGTGATTTTTGAGGAGTTTCGGAGGAGCTTTCAGCGGGATTCTGTGGTGTTGTTGAAGGGGATCGTCCTCTCATCGGATTCAGGAGTTTGTAGCACATCAGAGGCGAGTAACATCTCGCCCAATCCTACACCCACTGTTTGTATGCTTTTATTTGGTTTTATTTTGGTTTTATTGAGCCTAAATCACTATTTGTGTATAAAAATAGATCTTTATAGCATATGATGCGAAAATCGAATGTTTTCAGTTTATAAAAGCTCACAAACGAATTTGTAAATTTAGATCCAGATCTGGAATTTGTTTAAACATGGGTTTTATTGTGATTTAATGGTTTCAATACGTTTTTAAACATGAATAAATATGTTTAGGGTTTTAATATAAAATTTTACATGTAAATCTTTCGTTTCTGTTGGTATTCATGTGCTAGAATCGGAAATATATTACTGGACATGATTAAAGAGAACTTTAGTTAACGTGTTTGCAGTTCATCATCGAAAGCAGAAAACTGGAGATTTTCTGCTCAGTCGACCAATGAGTCGGTCGATTCATGAGTCGACTGATGAGTCGACCAATGAGTCGACTGATGGGGGAAAACTTTAGTTTTGTGTTTTGTCTGGTCGACTTATGAGTCGACTGATGGGTCAACTTATTAGTCGACTGATGAGTCGACTGATGAGGAATTTTTCTTCTTTTGTATTTCTTCAGTTTGAATCTATTTGAGTTGTTTCAGTTTAACTAAAACTGTTTATGCTTGTTTATTGTTGTTGCGTGTTTTGATATGAACGAGGAGTCGCCTCGAATAACGGGTGTTAGAAATTATTATTTAACCTGTATCTTTATATGTGAGATGACATGTGGACACGAGTTTAGGTTTGTGCACCG